AGATGCGATGAAATAAATATAGAGTAATGTGAAAGGATAAATGTGTGTCTAAAATACAGACAGACAAATATACAGACGAAAACACAGACAGATGAGACAAAAAAAGATAAGGAAAAAAAAGAAGAAGAAAAGACTGGCACAGAATTAGACAGAGAGCCTTTGGGGATAATGACCTGGAACTCTGGAAGCACAATATTTCAATCAATCTTCTGAAATGTTGAATACCTGGAGCTACATGTACAAAGCCTATTGTTTCCTGCCAAGTTACCAGGCTTTTGTTTTCTGATGCATAAAGCTGTTCTTATTTTTGTTGTTAAAACGCAATAGATACTGTACATCATAACATTTACTACTGTATGCACTCAAGTTTACATACATGTATTATATTGGATTATTTCAGATCTATCAAGATGACCCAGAAAATTATATGTGCTCATGAATGATGTAATTTAAAAACAATATTTCTAAGTGTAGCTAATGCAGATATGATATCATCATATTTTCATCGAGCCTGATGAAAAATGCTATTAAAGGCCTTTAAATATTTTTACAGTTGAGACAAAATAAAGAAATCATGTAGATGTAATTTCAGTTGGCCATGCCCAGATATTGCATCATGTGTGTTAACTGTTAGCATATACTTATGGATGCATGTCGCGTGTGGGGTTTTATTGACACAAGAATTTAACCTGTGAGTATGGAAACTGAGCGAAGCAATTTAGAATCTCTCTGTGTTTGCTTGTCTTGTGATAAACTCTTGAAGGCAAGATTGAGTCATCTCTATTCTGACAGCAACTACGTGACATGCAACATGAAAGCCAGCTCATAAAGGCATATGCTCATTAATGTAGGTCAATTAATGGTTTAAGAGTTCACTGACCACGTTTGCAGATATGTTATAGAACATTCGTTCAGTTAAAATTCAAGCAATACTTTTAGGCACCAGTAATCAAGATAAAAGGTCATTCATTGACTTTTGATAGAAAAACAATTAATACGTTTAGGGCTTTGGGGGGGGGGGGGAGGGGGAGAGGAGGTGCAAGAGAGGATAGATAAATGTTATATATTGCAAACTTGCATTTGGATCTACCCCCCCCCCCCCACAAAAAAAGAGGAAAATAATTAATGATTTGGGCAACACTTTGAATGATTTAATGTGTAATATTCTTGAGAGCACAGTTACATGTATATGTTGCGGAATGTCCTGTCTTGTAGTGCAATTCTGAAATCAAACTATTTAGGCCGATAAACTGAATGGCTCGACACTGAAATAAGGACCAGGCAGCACTCAAAGCCCCCCAAATTTCACTGTTGCCCCCCCCCCCCCTCCCCAAATGACTTTATTCTGTATTCAGCGGGACCTGGATAAGAAGGACCCTTAATTTTGTGGACCACAACAAATTAAAAAGTGAAGTACTACATGAAAATAATTATTTCACAAGCCTATAATTGTGTCAGCCTGTAAACAAGAAACCAAAGTACAGTTGAAAATAGGGTGAACATTGTATCCCTCTGTAGACAATCATTGTTGTGTACTATATATCCAATGTTTTGTTATTGAATTGAATACATCTAACCCCTGTCTTTGAAATCAGTCAAAGCTTTAATTGATTGGAATGCTCTCTCAATCATTCACAATGAATGCAAAGAGGAACATGACCTATTGACGAACTCTCTAGATGACCTAGGCATTGGGTAGAGGAAAACCCCAAGCTCATTTCTCTCTTCCCCTCCAGACTCTGCAGTGGGTCATGTTACCCCTCTCAGGAGAAATGGAATATCCTATGACTGTACACATACATTATGAACATACAGTAGCATTAACATAAAGAGGGGAGCATGAGGGTGGGTGTTCCTGTATTTTAATATGCTGTAGGCTATATATGCCGGGAGGTACATGTACATGTACATGTAGAGTACAACATACATGTATATTTACGCTATCTGGCTTTTGTAAAGGGCATTGATATTATAACAATATTTCTTTTTTTCATAATAACCACGACTAGGTCCAGCTTTTAATACTCACAATAAGTTGACAATGATAATTTTTTTTCTATGCATGATATTAATAAAGCCAACCATGTAGATGAACAGCATAGGCCTGAAGTAGGCATACATGTACATGTATGCACATTGCATTGTACAGACTATTATTTTTCAGCTATAGGCTTGTATTTACATTTCAATAATGTCAGCTAGTTCACCATTTACAGAATGACACACTATATAATTAATAGACATCATCCCTTGGTGTAACTTTGTAATGTTGTCTGTTATCACAAAGTTACAGAAATTATGGTGTACAAGGGAAAATATAGTTCAAGGGAAAATATAAAAGTCTTTGGGGCTTTTTCTATCTCAACATACATATGAACATGTCTTGTAGATCCATTAAAAAAAATTACATGTATCAGTACATGTACACGTACATGGATTCAATTGCATTCTGCTTCTGAAAATGAGCAGTAAACTAATTTCATTTATACAGTACCAGGCTTGCGGTTGCACCATGTGAGAGAGGGGGAGGATTTAGGAGTCCTGAATTCATTTACTCTTTAAGTTGGCAATTTATTCTATTTTATGATCCAGTATGTCATTCAGAGGGAAATGATTCCTTTACTGGGGGAGAAAATGTGACGGATATAGCCCACAATTCTCTCCCCTCGGTCCCGGCTAGCTCAAGAGCCATAAACACATGTTTTGACATTGACAGTAGTAATGTACATGTGCATGACTCATATACATCGGATTGTGGTTTGTGAAAGAAGGCTAGCAAACTACAAGATCAATACTTCAAATATGTGCGTGTCATTGTAACTTGCAATGCAAATAGTTCAAAAGGACATCTGTTCTCTTAAAGGAAAAGTTCTGACTGACATTCGATCCTTCTTGATACTAAAGACTGTTTCTTTTAATCTCTAGAAATATTAACTAGATACAAAGATATTTACTAGAAAAGTATTAAATGACAGGCCTACAACTATACTGTTTTCAAAACAATTCTATATGTTCATTGGTAATTTTTGGTATGCTTTATTGTATAAATAATGGGCACTAATGGGTATCAATGGGCACCAGACGATAACCCACCTCCAAAAATACATTCGTCCCTGATTTATGTCCAACCTAGATATTTATGGTGTTCCTTTTTTGTAGGGGAAAGGGTCGGAGGGGGGGAGGGGGTGAAGACAAGGGTTTCCCTAGTTGAAATATCAATTGAACATTTTTACATAAGGAATCAAATGAAGTTTAAGAAAGTAGAAATTGGGAATAGGCCTACCGTATTTGCCGGCGATAAGGCCGCAGCGCCGTATAGGCCGCACCCCCGATTTTGACATTTAAAAAATAAAAAATAAAAAAAAATTGTCAAAGTTGGGATTTCATCTCTTGCGTATAAATGTTGATTTGACTAAAATCAACGCCTTAGACCGCTCGGCCATCCCGCACTGATGCTAGCTTATGTAGTTTTATGTGATGTATACATTGCGCCTCTCTCTTGTGTATTGAAATGGATTCAGAATAGCGACTTCGCGTGCTGGATGCTTCGCGGCAGCTCCGTTAAACAGGCCCTTCTTTTACTTTTGCAATGCATCGGCACGAACTTAGATCAAGATCTATCGGCAGATGTTGTTTTTTGGAAGTTTATTTTTGTCTTCATGTCAACAATGCGAGATAAAATTGTTGGTAAGGTGTGTGGAAATGTATAGTTATCGTACCCTTCGTAGATCTAGTCCCATATGTGCAAATTCGTGCTAGTTTTGACTTACTTTTTAATTTTTTTTTTACTCTTTCGTCGCATAGGCCGCACCCCGACTTTTTGATATTTTCTCTTCCAAAAATACTGCGGCCTTTACGCCGGCAAATACGGTACATGTATTAGTATTAAGATCTTAGCTCATACATACATGTAATTAATGTATGCTTATGATATAGAGATTGCTTAATCCATGGAAATGTAGCACATGAGCTGTATTTGAATGTTGACAGGAAATTCTGTCTTAAATATTAAAGCTGCAGTGGGATTTCAAGAAAGCTGTCTGCTTCCTACAGGGTACATTTATTTCTTTGCATGAAAACAGGTTGAACATTCTGCCTAAGGAATGAAATGGCTAAAATTAATTCAACTTGGCTAGTTTTAATGAATATTGTACATGTATGTACATGTAAATGTTCTTGTGCTGTGCCGAATAACCATCTTTATATGCCAATAATCATGTTGAAATTGTAATCCAGCTTATAATGGGGGCATTGTGGCGCTGTAATCTAGCCAAAAATGGAAGTTACAAACTGATTCAGCCGAGGACGCAGGTTCAAAACTGAGTCACGTCTTTCGGATGGTGACATTAAAAGTCAGTCCACAGACATAAATAATCATATCTGATTGATACATGTCTGTAAAAAATCAATTACACAAACACACACTTTGTTACTCATACCCAGGCATGGCTTTATATATCTATCATGTTTTTCATTGATTCTGTAATGTTAGTATTGTCTGTCTTTTGCTTGGTAATCGAGGTAGAATTCAGCACCTGTATTAGAGAAAGTATGCAAGTGTGTTGGAATGTTTAATCAGAAAGGGAAACTGGGAAAATGTTGGCTGCCTGGTGATTTGGTTTATGATGGTATCAGTTGTGTTTTATTCAGATTATTACAGAATTCCAGTAATTGAGAAATTTATGTATGACACTCAATAGGTGGGTGAACTAAAATCACACTCACTTCATCTGGGTTTGAACCTGGCCACGAACCTGGCCTCAAGTTGGTCCACTCTCAGAATAATTACCATTATCAGCTATGGACTTTGATTAAAATGTCATCACAGAGTCGGTGCTTAAAGACAACTTTCCCTTCTCTGATCAAATCTCATACAACTGTATGAATTTTCTGTCGTAATTCTCATTTTGTATCATGGCAATTCATTTGTTTTGTACCCTGAGCGAATTCAATAATGTTCAATATTTTTCTTCTTCTTTTTTTCTTTTTTCTTCTTCTAGATGTCTTGGATGGGTACAATGGAACTATCTTTGCCTATGGACAGACATCCAGTGGAAAGACATTCACTATGGAGGTAAACTTATATACTGGTTCACATCATTTAATGTCATCCATTGTTGTTATTGATGATAATGAGGAGGAGGATGGTGATATGATGATGATGATGATGATGAAGATTAGGAGGAGGAGGAAGAGGAAGATGATGATAAGGAGATATGATGGTGATGGTGATATGATGATGATGATGAAGATTAGGAGGAGGGTGCTAAGGATGATATGATGGTGATATGATGATGATGATGGTGGTGGTGGTGGTGGTGGTGGTGGTGGTGAAAATCATTGTAATAAAATATCTGTTGATACAACATTTATATATTTTTTTTCTCAACTTGCAGGGAGTTATGGGTAACCCTCAGTATATGGGCATCATCCCTCGTATTGTGCAAGATATCTTCAATCATATCTACCAGATGGATGAGAGCCTGGAATTCCATATAAAGGTATGTTAAGACACGCCCCACTGTTGTTGATCCCTGGGTGCGTTTATCATCCCTTTTCTGTGCTAGAATCAGCATTTTTCAAACGTGTTTCAGGCAAATTTGCATGATGATAAACGCCAGCCTATTTTCAAACGTCTTTAGATATTGGTATATTGAAACGCAGAAAAAAATTGCTTTTTGAATGTGAGAATGAGCCAGAATTTCTGGGAGGTGATAAACGCAAAGCTGTTTTGAAACACACATACATATTGGACCTTTCCAGGCTAATTTCCGGTTCTGAGAAATAGCGTGCGCCATGTGCTGTGCCCTAGTTGACCTCCGTGCAACTCTCTGCTTCCCGGGTCAAACGGCGCAAGGCAGTTGCGTAGAGACAAGGTCTTTATTTTGAATCGTGACCAGTTGATAACGCGACATCCTGCAAATCACATTCGTATAGTGGGGTTCAATATGTATGTATAGAAACACTGTTTCTGATTGGCAAAAATGATAAACACACCGCCTGTTACAGAGCATTCCAACCTGTGTAATGAGTTCATTTGTATGAAAGCAGAAAAATAAGAGAAACAGAACATTTGGCAAAAGTTTGAAATAATCAGAGCGCTAATAAGAAAGTTATGAGAATATGAAATATGATATCACTAAATCTAGATTGGAAACTCAATTTGGTCATTGGATTGCGACGTATGCATGGACATCTCCCATTCGTCTTGTATAAAATGTTAATTTCTGTTATTCTCATACATGTAAGTGCTTTCTCCCTAGGCGCACGGCTATAAATATATTATAGATATTTGTCCGATTTCATTCCAACTTTCACAAGTCTGCATCTCTGATTTGTCTGCTTTCCATTAAAGTAATTTGATACTAAGGTTGGAATTTCCTTTAACCTGTTGACTCCTGAATTATCTTATTCCTGTAGGATAAATGGAGGAACAACCTGATCCAATCCCTATTTTTCGTAAAAATCTACCCTCTAATACTTCATAATCAAATAGATCCTGCCCCAGTTATTGTAGAGACAGGTTGACATGCATGATTATATGCATGGAATTCCATTCCTGTAGCTATTGATTTTATTCCATTTTATGATGTCAACCAGTTTGGTCTGCTTTACATGTATGCTTTTAATGGACAGCCATTAATATATACATGCCTACTGCAGTGAATAAATAAAAGAAAAATATAGTTTGTTAACGGTTTGAAAATCTATTTAAAAAAACAATCCAACAGTAATAGGATGATTCTGGATGCTGACTATTGTCTTGGATTCCTATCAAATACTCCATGCAACTATACTGATGAGTTTACAGTTATTTACTAGGCTTACCTACCATTCATCCAAAAATTAAAATTCTTTGTGATGTAATGATCGCGATATCTCAAAGAACCACCAGTCAAGGGTCATATCCATCATTATTTTTAGATGATTTAAATTTTAAATAGATACAAGTGTAATGTCATTAGGGCACATTTCACAGAATTTCCATCTTAGTTTCCCGGAGCTCTTTTAGAGCTTTCAAATACACAGCTAACAGCCTTTTCACACACAGCTAAAATTCTATAAACATGATTAGTATAAACGTGTTTGAAACGTGTTTAAACTAATCACGAGCCTTTCACACACAGAAATTTCGGTGCGATCGTTAATCGTTTCGTGATTAACTACTGCTCGTAAAATGCGCAGTAGTGCCATTGCGCATTGAAGGTCATGTCATATCAATCAAAGCACACGCTCCATCCAGTTTAAACACGTCTGAAACACGTTTAAACACGAATAACCTTTCACACACAAAATGTCAAGCTCTCTAGATACGAACTTTGTATCCGCAGCCTGCTTTTTGGGGCGTATGGATCGCGACTTCGTATCTATCCCAACATCGTTTTCACTACATACACCCTTCTCCTTCCCTTTTCAATTATGATCACATTCAAAGATTGTTGTCTTCAAATGATACTGATGGATAAAAGAATTGTGTCATACCACACACAATTCCCTTCCTCTTTTAAAACTTTCCAGTCAAGAGCTAAATCACTCCCAAGCTAAATCACTCCCAAGCTAAATCACTCCCTTGTATTTTATTCCGTCGTTGCTGCTACAGATGTGTTTGTAGTTGCCCTTCCCTTGACAATCGCCCTTCCCTTCTACATACATGTACATGTACACCCTTCTCCTCCCTACTCTGAATATGGTCTTATCTAAAGATTGTTGTCTTCAAATGATACTGATGAATAAAAGATTTGTGTCGTACCAGACACAATTCCCTTTCTCTTTTAAAACTTTCCAGTCCAGAGCTAAATCACTCCCTTGTATTTTATTCCTTCGCTGAGCACTACAGATGTGTTTGTAGTTGCCCTTCCGTTGACACTCTCTCTCCTTCCTCGTACATACACCCTCTCTCTTTCCTAGTGTAACCATTTCCTCCCATGCACATGTAATGAGGTAATATGAAGAGGACATCCCTCTTCCGTGGAAATGCACCTGCCACAGTATGCATGTCAATATGGCTGCCCTGACAGTCGGGCTGTCACTGAGGTTCAATGTCACTCCTTGACTACATGTGTAGGATCAGGTTTTGTCTTAAATTTCATTTTGTTGTTTGGCTCAATACATTTTTAATCAGAGCCACCCCCCCTCCCCCCTCCCCCTCCCCCCTCCCCCCTCCCCCTCCCCCTCCCCCCTCCCCCCTCCCCCCTCCCCCCTCCCCCTCCCCCCTCCCCCCTCACCTGCACAAAAACAAAAGAAGACATGACTTTTCATCAATTATGATGGGGGGAAAACTGCCAATTTGAAGACAAAATTAAAGTTTTGTATTAAAACAATCTGTGTGATGAATGGGCTTGTATATTCAGTTTAATACAAAATGCAAGTAGGTTGGGGGGAGGGGGGAGGGGGGGGGGGGAGGGGGGGGGGAGATGAGAATAAAGTTTTTTTTTTTTAATGTGGTGCACCCTTTATATAATACTGTAAAAACAGACAACCCTCTTCCTTTCTTTTTTCATCCTACCTGCGCACTCGTCCAATCTTTAAAATAATATTAAACACTCATTGTTTAGTTTGAATGTCAAAATATGCTCATACAGTGCAACTACACTGTCTGTATACTTTTTAAATATTCATGCTTGTTTTATTAGGGGGTTTGTAATTTGCTCAGGGTCTTCATACCACAAATCCAATTTACATTTTTTTTTTTATTACATTACCATATAGATTGATTTTGCCATAACGTATCAGAAATTCGAAAACAAGGGCATGGAGTAAGAGATCACAGGAGAATGAATTTTGTTTGTCAATGTCAACTCATCAATTACTTATATATACATATTTATTTATTTAATTTCTCAAGTGCAGTTGTCCAGACAGCCTTTAAACCTCTGTCTGAAGTGATAATGACAAATGAGTAATGATCCAAAGCTGTTATTACAATGTACTTGTAAAGTCCCAGGATATGTAATACTCTTTAAAATTAAACAGTATGAGGGAAAGTTAAAAGACCTTGAAAAAGGGAAATGGTGCATTGTTTTATGGCACCCAATGACAAACCACAGAATGAGTTTTCACACGAAAGTTCATTGTTTTTATTGTAGTATTAGTTATACTATAGACTGCCAGGGGGATGACAGAGAATATTGTGATGGCGAACTGCCATACATACATGTAGATTAAAGTGTACCACTGTACAACTTGATTGAATTTCAGTTCGTGAATATGAATGTAAATGTAATAAAGTAATGGATTTAAATTGTTTCTCACTTATTTTTTCTATATCTTCCCCTTTCCTTTTTGTCTTGTTCTTTATGATGTCTCCATTCTCCCTGTCTCTCTCCCCTCTGCCTTTCTTACCTATTTATTTCTGTTTCTGTCTTTACCCTGTTTTTTTCTCTCCGGCTCCCTCACCATCTCTCTCCTTTGCCACTCTTCTTTTCCATCTTTCTCTCTTTATTTGGTCTATTTCTTCTCATCTATCACCCTCCCCCTCCTTCCCCTCCCCCCTCTCTCTCTCTTTCTCTTTCTCTTTCTCTTTCTCTTTCTCTTTCTCTTTCTCTTTCTCTTCCTCTACCCCCTCTCTCTCTTTCTCTACCCACTCTCTCCTCCCCATCTCTCTCTCTCTCTCTCTCTCTCTCTTCCTCTATCCCCCTCTCTCTTCCTCTATCCCCCTCTCTCCCCTTCTCTCTGTCTCTGTTTCTCTATTCCTCACTCTCCCCCCTCTCTCTCTCTCTCTCTTTCTCTCTTTCTCTCTTCTCTCTCTCTTCCACTGACCTACAGGTTTCCTACTTTGAGATCTACATGGACAGAATTCGAGATCTATTAGATGGTGAGTCATACATGCTCGTGAATAATCAATTCTAGAACAATATGAGATTTATGCAGAACAGCTCCGGGCTGTTCACCTTGTAGTCTGTTCAGAGCCAGAAGGGTGTTTAAATATGTGTTAAAATATACATATATGAGTTTACATCACTCTCCTTCCAAACAGATGTTATATTGAGAAGTTTTTACATACGGTTCATACTATTAAAGGTAATACAAAGTTTTGGTATGGGGTCATGAATTTGGTTAAAATGAACATATTGGAAGCATATATGCGATCCTACAATATTCAGTGATCGTTGTCGCGGTTAAAATCAAGTCTAAAGTTATGAAATTGTAAATAATAAACCCTTTATGTTGTATAGCTCCCTCTCAAGGTTAAGATATTAATTAAGCTATAAAACAATGTTTGTTGACTAAAATCGACCAATTAGCTATTCCCGTTTGGAAATTACATATCACAACTACATATTCTGTGATTTTCAGGGTCGCAGCTACCATTGTACAGCCGTAAGCGCTATTTGAAATTTATCAAAATTTACCGGGAGCACCGGTAAATTTTTATATTTATTTTTTCTCGAAAGCAGAAGTGTTTTAGGGGCTACATTTTCTAGTGCTTATAATACATCCACATGGGCATCCAAACATATAAAACTTGTAGAGAATCACTATCCACCCAATATTGAAAATTTCCCAAGACTTTGTATTACCTTTAAAGGTTCAACTCGGACCCCGTTCCAAAAAAATTAGTGTGTAGCCCTGATGAATAAATGAGAGCTGAGGTGATATCATACTGATGAAGTACATTTATGTGTCATTCCACAAAATACCATGTACATAATGCACATGTAATGTACCTTGCTCATGCAACGAAAGTTACATCACTATTGAATTATGGGGGTCGAACATGGATGAATTACAATGCAGTCCCGATTATAACTGCAAATCAAAGTTCAAACACACGACTTGTAGACCGATTCTATGTGGTTGGATGGAGATGATAACAACTGCAAATACACGGACATGTAGTATTGAAGTGTACTTGGGAAAAAATGATGGGACTTGAATTTGAGAGTAATGTTCAAGTTCAAAGGGCAGACTCTTCTACAAACATGTAGTGATCTACATGTACATGTATGAGTCATGTGACCTTGATGTTAAACTTTTGTCTTTTTTTCATGATGCAATGTATGCCTATTCTGCAATTCTTGTGAAATATCTGTGTTTGCAATGGATTAAATCGTAGAAAAGTTATAAATTAAGAACTGTGTTGGAGTTGGTATTGTGAGTATCTAAATGCTAGGGATATGAGTTAAAATGGGTAAATCATGCACAGAGTTAACATGCTTCTGGCTCTAAAGAAACAATCTCATCTTTTGTTGAGAGCTACATTTGTAGAGAGCTACATTTGTCGAAGTGCATTAAATCGTGAGCATGTAATTGCACTGACTCCAACCAGACAATCTTATAATTTATTGAAAACCAGAAGAGCATTAAATCATTTAATTTAATAACTCTTTAATGCACTTCTGGATCCAACCAGACAATCATATCTTTTTATTGAGAGTCAAAGGAGCTTTCAGCATACAATATGAAGCTTCCTTTATGGCATGGTGTTTCTATGATTGGGGGTAAAGAGATATGTTGAGTTATGGATGTGGTTATTTAAAGTGATAGATAAAGAGATGAAGCAGACGGGGTGACATTTAAAAGGCGCTCTCTAGGCACAAATTATGTGGATGGCATGGTTCTTAGGATAGAGAGGAAAATATAGAGAGGTTGGAGATATAAATGTGTGTATGAGGGAGAGAGAGAAAGAGAGGGTGGGGCGGATAGAGGTAGAGAGAGGGAGGGGATGGATGGAGGTAGATAGAGGAAGGGTGGAGGTAGAGAGAGAGGTAGAGAGAGAAGGAGAGATGGGGGGGGGGAGAGAAAGAGAGAGAGAGAGGGAAGGGGGATGGAGGTAGAGAGAGGGAGGGTGGAGGTAGGAGAGAGAGGTAGAGAGAAAGGGGGAGAGAAAGAAAGAGAGAAAGAGAGAGAGAAGGGGGATGGAGGTAGAGAGAGGGGGAGGGTGAGGGGGAGAGGGGGAGAGGGGGAGGGGTGGAGGAGAACTGGAGAAAGGGAGGGGAAGGATGAGTGAGAGAATAGAATAGGGTCCATAAGGAGTAACATCGGGAGGAGTTAAATGTTTGGATGAGAAATGGGGTGGGGGGGGGGGGGTCAGGGAGAGGGGGTAGATCTTTCATTACATGAAAAATACATTAGAGAGGCATTCATTCTCCCCCTCAAAATATTTACCCCAACATTCTAAGGGCAATGTAATATTTTCAACAAACGGAACGTATCACTTTAAAGTGTTTTTCTTGTCTCATAATGCTGTTGATGCACACCATCAATGATTAATGACATGGCTGAAAAACCAGATGTTTCTGTAAGACATTACTGCTTACGAGACAAGTACATGTACAAATGGTTAGGTAAAGGCGGTGAGGGAGGGAGAGAGAAAGAGTGATACTGGCATATAAACAGAGGAAGGGGGGAGAGAGAGAGAGGGGGGGGGGGGAAGAGAATGTTCTAGTAACTCCTCGGTTAGAGTAAACCTAGGAGAGAAAATAGGAGAGAGAGAGATAAAGAGAGACAGAAAGAAAAGAAAGATGTCACAAATTCCAAGTAACAGCTGTTTGTCAATTATTCAGTAAGTTAGTAATTTTGAAAATCTCTGTTCTAATTTAGGGTTACCAACACAGATTTGTTTTGACTATTTACAAAAAAAGGGAGGGGGGGGCAGATAATGTATGACAGAATGATAATATTGCTATCCACCTTTACATTATTGCACACATCTATCCCATAGAACTCTCAACATGCCTACAAGGTTCTTCTATGACCCTTGCTTTACCCCAGTTGCCCTAAAGTGCTGAAAGCATTCAAAGAATAATTTCCACCATGTTTTACTGCATCTGGGTTTTTTGAGGCAAATGTAGATCAGTGTCTATTATCTTGCAAGACGATTGGATTGCCAAGGGATTCGCTCCCTGTAAGTTGTGTGTAATAGTCAGGTGATTTATCCACTAGACCTCAACTGCTCAAAAAGAGAAGCATGTACAATAGTGGTAATTTCCTTCTCTTTCTCTATTATTTCTAAGATAATTATATTTATTATGTTGACTTTGTATATACTGTGAATTTCTGATTTTTAAGACTAAATAAGTAATAAATATTAATTAAAAAAATAAATAATCATGCATATTTTGTTTGTTGTTTATTTATTTATTTTTCTTCTTTTAGTATCGAAAACCAACCTGTCTGTCCATGAGGATAAGAACCGGGTTCCGTTCGTGAAGGGGGCAACGGAGAGGTTCGCTTCCAGCCCCGAAGAGGTCATGGACGTCATTGAAGAGGGCAAATCTAACAGACATATTGCAGTAACAAGTAAGTCAAGGGGGGTGTTTCACAAAACTTGTCATCGGAGACAAATGACAGTTTTTGTTTTAATATAAGCAACTGAAATCCTTGCTTCTGATTGGTTATCAGCAGATTTGTCACTGATTTTTGTCATTTGTCATTGAAAAAAGGCTCTGTGAAACAGGCCCCAGGGACAATGTATGATTCTTCTTTTTTAGCAAAATTAAGTAAGTAAAATGGATTAATTAGGAAGCTTCAAGTAAGAGTATCAGCTGCATGTTTTGCAAATAATGAAACAAGTTGTTTTTCTTCATTTTACAGAATTTTGCAGCCTCCCCCCCCCCCCAAAGTCCTGGGAGTTAAAGCAAAGCCTTTTTACATGTAAATGATTAATTCATGAAAATTAAAGTATGAAACGAGTTATGTAATAAAAATTATTTTCTTCATTCATGAAGTTACAGAATAAAGTAATTGTTTGGAAGGTTAAAAGGTTACCAAAGAGGATAATTGTTAGGTATTGGGAGGGGGGGGGGGTCTAGGATAGATGATGTGAGTGATAACTCGGGGCAGTCATCTGGAGATAACGCAAACAGTAGTTACAGAAGCATGAACCCTTATTCTTTATCATATGATTTAATATTTTCAGAAATAGTACTACTCAGACCTGTCTATAGCAACCACCCAAGGGAAACACAAAGAGTGGCCTTTGTAGGCAGCTTGTCTTTGTAGACAGGTTCCTTTAGTACATGATTCAATGAGAAACCATTTTCATGGGAAACAACAAATGTGGCCTTTGTAGACAGGTGGTCGCTAAAGAAGGTTTGACTGTAACAGTAGCACAAACAACTGGTTAATTTTGTTACATAATCTTACTCTTTTTCAGACATGAATGAACACAGCTCTCGCAGTCATAGCATCTTCCTCATCCAAGTCAAGCAGGAGAATATGGAGACCAAGAAGAAACTCAGTGGCAAGCTTTACCTTGTAGATTTAGCTGGTAGTGAGAAGGTAAGTCACATACTTAGTAACAGAATACACCAGTTTACGGTTACAACAGTGCGCATGCGCAGACATGGGCGCCATTTTAATTTACGAGTAAACAAAGCTGTTTACCCCACTGACCTCTAGAGGTCAATGGTTTACGCGTAAATTAATATAGCACCCATGCAAATATGATGTGAGCAGTGAAGCTACAATACATGCGCATCTGAAAACATTGATGACGCAATGTTTACGCGCATATTAAAATGGCGGCCTTAACCATAAACTAGTGTATTACCTGGGGGATGTTTCATAAAGCTGTGCGTAAAGTTACGAATGACTTTACCAATGATTTGAATATGAAGAACCAAATAGGATTCCCCAAAGTTTTTCCTGACATTTTAACAAAGTGTGACTGTATTTCCCATAATCTCAATTGAATTGTAGCCCAAAATACACTTTGCATTAAAATGTTTTGTTAATAATGATAAGGTTTGTCTACATCTGCATATTTTAACTTTAGCTTATGCAGTCAAAAGGATTTTAGAATCCCATTTAGCTCTTCATATTCCAGTCATTCGTAAATTCATGTGTAACTTTACCCACAGCTTTATGAAACACCCCCCCCCCCCCCCCTGCTTTCATGCCGTTTGTGCTGACAAAATAAAAAAAATTCTACTTGAACTGCTTGCTGTAAAAAAATCTTAAAAGTTTCCATAGCAGTTGACATTTGCAAACGTTTCATGCTGCGAAATAATTTAATGACATGGATTTTTTTGCAATTTGCTGAATTTTTTTGTGAAAATGACTGTCACACACAACATTTTCTTGTATAACAATCCTTTTGTGGAGACTTCCCAACAAAAAGCTGGTACCTATCTGTACAATGCCTCACAAATTAATGTAATTCTACATATTTGATATCCATAACATGAAATGAACAGAAGATAATTAAAATAAATTATTTTAGTTCATAATATTGTACAGAATGTCAATCAGAGTATGTATTAGATTGGCCGAGGCCAATCCCTAGTGAGATGGAGTTCGAAAAATATTTATATACACATCAAAGTAACAAATTAAATTGCTTGGTTTCTTTTTCATTCTCGCCACAGGTTAGCAAGACTGGAGCAGAAGGAACGGTTTTAGATGAAGCCAAAAATATCAACAAATCTCTGTCAGCACTGGGAAATGTTATATCAGCATTAGCAGATGGAAAGGTAAGTTTATAACCAGTTTCTTTTTTTCAGAAAAAGCTGGTGTATTTATGTATGTATACTTATACAGGTATATTAGTAGAGAGGGTATATTATTAGGTGGCGGGATAGCTCAGTCGGGAGAGCAGTGGTCTCGTAATCCGGTGGCCCAGGTTCGAAACCAAGTCGATGCGATAGTGCCCTTTGGTAAGGCATTAATCCTCATTACCAGGTCCCTCGGAGAGGACCTAAAGCCGTCGGCCATCTGGTTGCTTACTAACAAGCATTTATGCTTTCTTAGCAGTCGGGTAAAATAACCACCACCACAGACATGTTAGTAAAGAAGGCCTAGAGAATATTGCTTTGAAAGGAAAAATTATAGGAAGAAGGAGTAGGGAAGAAGAAAGATACTTTGGATAGACAGTCTGCAGAAATTGTTAGAAGAGAGAGGAGTGAAAGAACAGGGAGTGGTGCTAATAAAGAAGGCTAGGAGCCGAGGGTTGTGGAACAGCATGATTGCCAAAGTCATTTGATATGGCACTTACAGAGAGAGAGATATTAGAGTATCATTAAATTCATTTTCATTTATTTATGAATCTATGATTATTCTATGAATCTGTTTTTTTCAGAGAGTCCAGGGATTTAAACAAAAATCATTAACAAATGATCACAATTAAAAAAAACATATGAAAACAAACAAATCAAATCAGAAAAGAGGAAACGTAAAAGCATAAAGTAACATATATTTTGCGGCAGTCTACCGCATCATATCTGAACGAGCCTTTAGCGTGTTTGCTTGAAATCAGTTGTTTGTTGTATATACGTCTTTAACCTGAATCCGACTCTTTTTCTTGTCCCCCTCAGAAATCTCACATCCCGTACCGTGACAGTAAGATGACCCGTATCCTGCAGGAATCCCTTGGAGGTAACGCTAGGACCACCATCGTCATCTGCTGCTCTCCTTCCTCCTTCAACGAGTCAGAGTCAAAGTCCACCCTTATGTTTGGCCAGAGGTTAGTAACTGAAACAGAGAGTAAACAAAGGTCTCTCTCTCTCTGTAAGTGCCATATCGATTGACTTTGGCAATCATGCTGTTCCACAACCCTCGGTTCCTAGCCTTCTCTATTAGCACCACTCCCAGTTTTTTCACTCCTCTCTCTTCCAACAATTTCTGCGGACTGTCCATCCAAAGTATCTTTCCTCTTCCCCTACTCCTTCTTCCCACAATTTTCCATGTCAAAGCAAGATTCTCTAGGCTTCCTTTATGCTTTCTTTACAGAGGGTAATGGGTACAAATCACACAAACAATATTTTGCTGTGTTTGTTAGGGATTCCTTGTTAGTTGACTAAAATTATGAACTTCAAATATTTCACCGATGAAGAGATAATGCAGGTTTAGACACACTCTCTATATTCTAAGAAAACTGTTCTCATATATCATGTATGTGTCTTGTTCCATCTCAGAGCTAAGACCATCAAGAACACCGTAACAGTCAACATGGAGCTCACCGCTGAAGAGTGGAGGAACAGGTATGAGAAGGAGAAGGAGAAGAACGGAAGACTGAAGGCCCAGCTCCTGATCCTGGAGAATGAGCTCCAGAGATGGAGAGCAGGTAAGCTGGAGACAGCGTCATAATTAATTCAAGGGATCCGGTAACTTTGTCTCAGATTCTGAAACAAAATCCTGGATTTAGCTCATGCTACAATGATACCTTTAACCTTTAGGTCAGTCAGGAAACCCATAACTTTTACAAGCCGATCGCCTGTCTGATTATCAAGGTATTTATGATTGGAAATTGAAACCAAATTTTGCGTTTTCCTTACGGTTTTCATAACACTACAGTCTATTGGGGAAAAGGAGTATGGTAAATCGGGTCACTCAAAGATTTTTAATTTTTTGAGGCACTTCTTGATCATTTTGAAGCGCATTTTTTTTAGGGCTTCAATATTGCATCATATCACAGACACTGATAACATGAAGGGTCGTGCATCTCAGATTCATTCAAATATGCCAAACACTCCTTTAAAAAAAAAAAAACGCAAAATACAACCATTTTAATTCTTTAAGTGGGGATGCAAAATTTTTGTTTAGCTCCATGGAATAAAGGCCCCTAAGCATAGTCATTTCTTGCTATCGCAAATACCCCCAAATGCCCCGATGTTGACCTCTTGGACCGGTGTATACGGTGCATGCATGCAATTATTTCTAAACTACTTCAGAAGCATGTAATAATAATTACAATCTGGATTTATATAGCGCTTAATACAAAATACCGCTTCTATAAAGCGCTTTACAGATATTATTACCCTGGTCATGGGATTCATTCACACACAATATGCACCATCTCCACTCCCTGGGGAGTATTCCTACGGTATGGTCACCGTGAGGGCATATGGCAATTACTAACACAAAGGCTTTCGTCATCCTACCAGGTTCCCATATCTCTCCTGGGTATGGAGTGGCAAATGTAGACTAATGCCTTGCCAAAGGACATTAGTGTCATATTGTGTCATATAGTGTCAAATGGGGACATCATGTCATGATATTTTATGTATAATATTGTGTGTCATAATATTGTAATATTGTATGTATGTTTGAAATATGATACAGAAATCAATAAATCAAATCAAATCAAATCAAATCAATATTGTATATGCTTTACAAGAACCAAGAACCATCACAAAAGATTACAGAGAGTCCTTTTCAGGACTCCTCAATCCTCCCCCTCTCTCACATGGTGCACCCGCAAGCCTACTGAATAAGATTCAAATAGTTAAGTATTATCTTCCTTTCTTCTCATTGTCACTCTTAGGTGAGAGTGTACCGGTGAAGGAACAAGGAAACAAGAACGATGAGATCTTGAAAGAGATGATGAAGCCCAAGCAGATGACTGTCCACGTCTCGGAGGAAGAGAAGAACAAGTGGGAAGAAGAGAAAGTCAAACTCTACGAGCAGCTCGATGAGAAGGTAACAAAACTTGTACTGGTGTGAAGTACAATATATGAGTGACAGTGACAGTCACTAGTGATATAACATCATGTTGAGTACCTGGGACTGATGAAGAAAAAAAGATCGGAAGAAGAGATAATCAGACTCTTTGAGAAGGTAACAAAACTTGAACTGGTTTGAAATTTAAATATATTTCAGTGACAGTCACTAATGATATAACATCATGTTGAGTACCTGGGACTGATGAAGAAAAAAGATAGGAAGAAGGGATATTCACACTCTTCGAGAAGGTAACACAACTTTTACTGGTTTGAAATAGAAATATGTCAGTGACAGTCAGTAATGATATAACATCATGTTCAGTACCTGGGACTGATGAAAAGAAAAAAAAGATAGAAAAAAGAGATACTAGTAAAACTATTCTAGCAGCTTGATGAGAAGGTTACAAAATTAATCCTGACTGACTGAGAAACTGAAGCAATAAATGCTAGTGCATGAGGAGCTAATATCCCCCATGCTTAGAGACTATTCTCACTTTTAATATTCTTTTGATTTTATTCATACCACCAGGACAGCGAGATCGACAACCAATCCCGACTGACTGAGAAACTCAAGCAACAGATGCTGGAGCAGGAGGAGCTGCTCTCCTCCATGCAGAGAGACTATGAGCTCCTTCAGAGTCAGATGGGTCGTCTAGAGGCAGAGAATGCCGCCGCCAAGGAGGAGGCCAAGGAAGTTCTTCAGGTAAGTTCCCTCTTGAAGACGTACCAGGGGGGTGTTTCACAAAGATTCTAATTTGAACTTAACTCTATGTTGGACTTAAAAATTATGGAGAGCCATTTGTAGCCTTGAAATAAAATATATTCATTAGCAAAAGTTCAAGTATTTTAGACTTTACATAAATTCCACATCAAGAACATGAAATCTCCTTGATAATAGGAAATATGAATGATTTTGAATCAACATTTCATGCCTCTTAAAATACCTTTTACAAAATATTTTCAAAGATTCTAATGGCTTTCCATAATTGGCGTTGCAAGAAAGTTGCAATCAATTGCAAATCCTCAAAATCAAGCGTAACTCTTGCAATTAATTGCAAATTTGCGATTGATCGCAACTCAACTTTCTTGCAATGCCTCATTAGTAAGAGAGAGAGAGGGGGGAGATAACAGCTAGATCTACAGTAGTTAACTTAATTTAATTGTTAAAACTTTAATCCTAACAAGATCCTAGGAAATTTAGGAGACTAGTGGGGCGTTGCAAATATCAGTTGCAAATTTAGCAACTTGCAATGCCCCACAAGTGTTATAGTGATTAATTGTCTCAACATTTCAAATAGCTCTTCTTCACTCTAAGCTATTAAGAATTCTCGTACATATTGATGTTGTCTCTGTTAACATTATACATATAGTGGTACTGCATGTATATCGATGCTGAAGAAATACTCATCATTTGATGTTTGTTCATTGTTTAGGCATTGGAGGAGATGGCAGTGAACTACGATGAGAAATCCAAGGAGGTTGAAGATAAGAACAGGATGAATGAAACCCTCAGCGAGGAAGTCAACGAGAAGATGGTAAGAAAATGGTCTGTCACCTTCAGATGATGAGAACATAAGAACAGATTTTGAGACCAGTTTTGGAAACCCCCCCCCCCCCCCCTCTCAAAAAATGAAATGGAAGCTCTTATTACCAATCATGTGAAAGAATATGGTTTAACTAATATGTGATGATACAAATTTTGCCTGGTAAACCGCCTACTAATTGATATATTTGGTAAATTATCATATCTATCCGGCTTGGATAGATATCGCGATTGTACTACTTTAACATTGAACATTTGAGCATATATTTCTGCTTTTTTGCAAATTTAGGTTAAATTATTGCCATCTAAACCTCTGAAGGCAATATTTGAAGAACAATATTGAATGGATATTTTGCACCCAAAATCCTTGAACCGCAATTTTACCACTGCCGGTCTATATTTTTAAGAAAAGGCTGAGTGAGGATGTCTCTGGGTGGGAGATCATTTCTAGAAGATGTTTTGGTATTAAATCATTCTTGAGGTGGGGTTACGGTTGCTGTTAGGGAATTAATGCAGGAGATTAGGGTCTAGTCGTATTCATGTGATGAGAAGTCCCAAGAGATTGAGAGGTAATATAAGGACCACTGGGTGAGGAGGTTTATGAAAAAATTGTTAACATAAACTTTCCTGCTTATCATGGGGTTAAAAACATGGGGCTAGGATAGCTGTAATTGTTAATGGATTGGAGTTGTTAGGAGGGGGGGGGGGGGGGGGGGTTAGAGGGCCTTTCAATATTAAGATGGTGAAAAGTCCAAAGAGTTTGGATAGCTTGAACAGAATGAATGAACAAAGATCAAAGAGAAAATGGTAGGAGAAACTCTCCAGGTTAAAACAATTGCTCTGCTTATTATTCCACGGCTACAGGGTTAGGGTTTTCACTTGGGTTGCATTTGGGTTTTCGGGTAGGTAGTTTAGGGTATATAGGTACATGTATATATGAAGTTTAGAAGCAATCAAAGAAGCAATCGGTGTTTAAGCATGTGTCACAGAGCCCTGTTATCTCTCACCGCTCATGAACTATTTCTCATATCAATCTTTATTTGTCAGACTGCTCTGCACACGACCAGCACAGAGCTTCAGAAGCTACAGGAGCTGGAGCAGCATCAACGTCGCCGCATCACAGAGATGATGGCCAGCCTGCTCAAGGATCTAGGAGAGATCGGGACTGCTCTAGGTGGAAACGCTGCTGATATGAAGGTAAGGAAGCCTCTTCAGGGATGGTGGAGAGGTTGGTTGTTAGGGCGGTAGGTGTCATAGATCTATATTTGAAGCTTCACCGCATCACCGAAAAGATAGCCAGCTTACTCAAGGATCGAGGAGAGATCGGGACTGCTCTAGGTGGGAATGTTGCTGACATGAAGGTAAGGTGGTCCCTTCAGGGATGGTGGAGGGGTTGGTTGTTAGGGCGGTAGGTGTGATAGATCTATATTAGAAGCTTCATCAACATCACTGCATGAAGAAGATGATGGCCAGCCTGCTGAAGGACCTAGGAGAGATCGGGACTGCTCTAGGTGGGAATGCTGCTGACATGAAGGTAAGGAAGTCCCTTAAAGTAGTCACCCAAAGAATCAAAAGTGTTTTGAATTGAAGCCAAATTCATGTTGTTGCGAATGGGAAGCCTTACTGATCAAATATAACAACTTCCCTCTTCAAAATATGTTTGGGGCCCGCAGTAATCATCTCTCAAAAATGTTAATTTTGAGTTTCAGATTTTCTGCCTTCAGCAGTCCTCCGTAGAGCGTCAAGATTCGTGACGTCACATGTAAGACACAGCTAAACACAAAATTGCATTTTACACCTTTCCATGATATCTTTATCATTTTCCAGCAAATTATTCATGTTTTTCAAGAGAAAATCTTTCCATCCAATATAATTTGACCATAATTATCGGTTGTCGTGAATATCTTTGGGTGACTACTTTAAAGCTTGTGGGGGGTGGGGGTAGGCTAAATGAACTGATCTAACCCATGGTAACGGTGAGGAAGACCGCTTAGATATGGTTGATTGCTAGGTAGGTAAGGAATTTATTGGATGAGTTTACCAATGGGTTGGTGGGGAAATCTAGGAGAGATTGCCACCTCTCAAGGAGGAAATATTTGGGTTATGAAAGCGAGAGAATACCATGGTTTTTACATTGTTAGGTAGATCTGTTCTTGGAGGAAATATTACTGTTCTGAATTTTACTCCCAGAAATGAAGATGGCCTACAAATATTAATTTTTTGCATCTCTGCACCACCCACATTCTGAACAGAACATAGATGAGTTTTCCCCTCCTCTCGATCTTTACAAGAAAATAAGTAGTTGGTACTCGGTGATCAACAATTCAGAAGTAATGCAATTGTCAGTGGTTTTCAGAATGAAATTATACTTCCAAACGTAAAGATCACCTTTAACTGAAATCATCCTGTTATCTCTTGTTAACCCAACGTTGAGAACATCAATTAGGTAGATTTTGAAACCACAATGATCCCTCTCCTCATAAGAATAAACTTTCATCAGAATGTGAAAGCTGAACTATCATTATCCTCTTTCATTCTCCCCAGCCCAACGTTCAGATTGTAAAAAAAGGAAGACGAGGAATTCATGATGATCCATCTCTTGTCTAAGAATAAACTCAAGTTCTACCTTTTAAATAGAAATTTAACTCTCAAAAATAAACCATCATCATCCTATTTGAGAGGTCCATCCTTCCGAGGGGCCCCACTCACAAGCATAACTTTTTGGGGTCTCAATTTGGATCATGTTTGTTTGTCATGATTGCTATGTCATGTGTTTTTAATAAATAATAATAATTCTAATTCTCCCCAGCCCAACGTTGAGAACATCGAGAAGGTCGACGAGGAATTCACCATGGCCCGTCTGTTTGTGAGCAAGATGAAGACGGAAGTGAATTCATGATGATCCATTTCTTTTATAAGAATAAACTCAAGTCATTTACTTTTTAAATTGAAATTTAACCCTCAAAACTAAACCATATTCATCCTATTTCAATTCTCCCCAGCCCAACGTTGAGAACATCGAGAAGGTCGACGAGGAATTCACCATGGCCCGTCTGTTTGTGAGCAAGATGAAGACGGAAGTCAAGACCATGTCTCAGAGATGCAAGATCCTGGAGGCGAGCAACGCGGAGAACGAGACTAAGATCCGCACCTCCGAAGATGAGCTGGACTCCTGCAGGATGACCATTCAACAGGTAAAAAAAACTAAATAATAAAAACGTTGCTTATGAAGCGCTTACCCCTGAAGTCTCTAAGTGCTATAACAAACAAATATACAATGATAAACAATTTCATATTACAAAACAAAAAAAGTGCTAATAAACCTACAAATGATAATACATATGAAATACACATCACTGTGTGAACAGAGTAAGTTAATCATCAAAAGCAATTTTGAATAAATGTGTCTTCAGACAAGTTTTGAATTGGTTATCAGTTTGACAGTTTTTGACATTTAAAGGTAGTTTATTTCAAAGTTCAGCAGAAGGTAGGGTGGTCCTTTCAGGAATGAATGCTACAATAAAATCTGTATCTTTAGGGAAAAACACCATTGGATAAAAAACAACTTCTTATCCTCCTCTCTTGTATCCCTTGTTCTTAGGACTCAATTTCTGTTGTTGAGCATCCACCCATGAAACATTGAAGATCTAAAGTATTAGTATTGAGAATTAGACAATTTCTTGAGTTCAAAGTCATTATTTATCTCATTTTGAATTGAAGGATCACAAATAAATTATCACAAATAAAAACAGTTTGTTGGACGGTCTTTTAGTTATCAGGACTTTGGCCATTCATCATGATGCAAACATCAATCCTTGACAGTGACGGAGCTTAATCCATTTGTTAAATGATTGACAAGTGGATACTTTCAGTCAAGCTGTTGTGATTACATGTAAATATCCATCATGACGAAGTACGTGTGATTATGTACATGTATGTTACATGGTTTTCTTATGATATACTGTGTACCTATGATATACATGTATGTCTCCGGACCATAAAGACATATCTACACTCCACAAGCTACGGCATTCAAATCCATGCCACAGCACTAACGTGTCATTTGGCAAGACATTAATCCTTATCAGGGTATATTGTTTGTCAGGTAAAGCCAGGGTAAAAATCCCTTTGTACAGCATTTGAAAATAATAATAATAATAATAATATTCTGCTTTTATGTAGCGCCTAATACATCGATACAACGATGTGTCTAAGCGCTTTTCAGATATATTATTACCCCGGTCATCGGATTCAGGCTTACCCGCACACAATGTAAGCACATTGTCCACTCCCTGGAAGCATTCCAGCCAGGTGTCATTTTTAAAAGTGCATACTTGCTCATCTAACCACATTAACTTGGGTGGAGAGTGGCATATGTAGATCAATGTCTTGCCAAAGGACATTAGGGCTGCGGCGGGACCTGAATTACGGACCTTGTGATCCACAGTCCGGTGACATATCCAATCGACCACAACACCTCTAGGTAGGGTGATCCTTTCAGTAATAAATGCTACAATAAAATCTGTGTCTTTAGGGAAAACACCCTTGGATTTTGTCCCTGTGTTCTTAGGACTCAATTTCTTTTGTTGAGCGTCCATGAAACATTGAAGATTTAAAGTATAAATATTGAGAATTATATTATATCGTAAGTCAGGTAAAGCCAAGGTAATTTTTTATTTAATTGCACCACTTCTTTGTTGTGTCCTTCCTTGCAGCATGAGGCTAAGATGAAGTCTCTGTCTGAGAACATCCGTGAGACTGAAGGCAAGAAGCGACATCTTGAGGATAGCCTGGACATGCTGAACGAGGAGATTGTTAAGCTCAGGGCAGCAGGTTAGTCATCCACAATGACAGTTACAATGACACTCAGAGTGACTGACAATGACATTGACATTGTCAATGACATGGACACAAAGATACCGATTATGACATTGACATTGTCAATGACATTGACACAGAGATACCGATAATGACATTGTCAATGACATAGACACAGAGATACCGATAATGACATTGACATTGTCAATGGACATAGACGCAGAGATACAGATAATGACATTGACATTGTCAATGACAAAGATTAGACGATATCGACAGTGTGAGTGGCATTGACACTGCCAATGACAAAGATTGAAAGATACCGACAGTGACATTGACACTGCCAATGACAAAGATTGAAAGATAACGACAGTGACATTGACACTGCCAATGACGAAGATTGAAAGATACCGACAGTGACATTGACACTGTCAATGACGAAGATTGAAAGATACCGACAACGACATTGACACTGTCAATGACAAAGGTTGAAAGAAACCGACAGTGATATTGACACTGTCAATGACAAAAGTTAAAAGATACCGACAGTGACATTAACATTGACAGTGGTGTTAACAATGAGGAGGACAGTGAAGTTGACAATGGCATTGACAGTAATGACAGTATCATATATTGCTTTGATGATGAGAACATTAGTGACTTTGACAACATTGACAATGACAATTGAAAGACTGACTATGCCAGCAACATTGACAACAATGTTGACAATGACAAAAAAGCTTCATGGTCAATGGTACCGACTGACAACGACATTGACAATGAGAGGGTTATTGACTTTCACATTGGCAATGATAGTGAGAATGCCAATATTTATGAAAATGATAGCAACTAACATTGATTGATCAAGACAGTTTCAGTGGCATTGACATTAATGAGAATGATAGTTTTGACCTTTGACCTTGATGACAATGAATTTGACACTTGACTGTGGCAGTAGTATAGTAATGGCATGACGAATCACGGTGACAATTGAAGGAAATGTGGCAATACTGGTTACATAGATAACGACATTGCGCAATGACATTAGTTCCTTCCGTAGAGGGGGTTCCCTCTGGAACACATTGTCAATATTCTTTCCATATGTAAGATCGCAATTTGAATTTGGGAAAGTTCCATGAGGTTGTTTCCTTGCAATCCTTAAGGCTTCGAGGGGGCTAACGATGATGACATTGACAAGGATTCTCGCTGGTGCCTAATATCCTTGGGGGTTGCCAAGCAGGGGGGACCAAGGGAACAAGGGTACTTTCTCTCAGATAAGGGTATCAACATACAAGTATTCTTCAATCTATTCAAAACATCCTCCCCTGGATTGTCTAAGGGTCCCCTATTTTTACCAGGCACCTGTAAATGTTAATCTCTCTGTTCCGCCTGCGAAGCTCTTCGATTTGGTCCGTAGTCTAGTAACTCAGTTAAACCAGATGTGACTAGAATCATGTTAAACAAAGGGAAAACATAGTCTAGGCATCCCCTCAATCTTATTTCCTGTGTGAAACTTGACTTTGAAACGTGCTTAAACCCAGGGTTGTGTTTTACTGAAATTTTAATAGAATAGGGACTTTTGTGTTTTGTATGCTGTAAACACCCATTTGATCATAATATTTTATACCTCATTGTGTTTTACTTTGCAGAGGAAATCCGTCTAACAGATCAGGAAGATAAGAAACGTGAAGAGGAAGATAAAATGCAGTCAGCTACAGAGATGCAGGTAAGTTATTAAAGAGAAGGTCAGGTTCTTGTAAAGTTGAAAACTAATTTCTGAGATTTTCTGTTATTTTGATTTCTTAGTGTATGTGGAAGATAATGGTTGTGGCAGTGTGGACTATTATGTGGCACAGTTTCATTAAAATTGCTCTTGAGTTGTACTCATATTTGATATATGACAAGAAATAGTTAAGACCAAATTTTGATTCCTATGTGTGTATAGTCCCATATACCCATACCCATCAGGGTTGCCTTTAACTATATGTGATTTTTAGAAAGATGCATGAATTTGTTTTGATGATTCCATAAACTCAAAGTCCACAATTATTCTGAGGTATTCCCCAAACCTTCTAGACCATTTCTTTCCCAATCCAATCACTCAAACTCTTTTTTTAAAGTTTAAAACAAAAGGTTGAGGTGTACCAATTTCATCTCCAAGTTGAAAACGATAGCCTCGTAGAAATAAACAAAGCATTCACCAATTGTTCACGACGTCTTCATCGGGTGTGGAAAAATCCCAATCAAAGGGATCAAACAACAAACACATTTTGGTTGTGAGACTTTCTGACTAATTCAAGAATGGATTGTTGTGTTCTTTTTCAGGCCTCTATGAGTGAGCAGATGGAATCGCACCGTGATGCTCATCAGAAGCAGCTCGCCAACCTCCGAACAGAGATCAACGAGAAGGAACATCAAATGGAGGAACTCAAGGAGTAAGTCCTTTTTAAAAATATGTAGGGTTAGTGCTAAGAAGAGCTGGAGTGCAAAGGAAAATGATACATGAGATGTTGATTAGGCAGTAGAGAAGGCCTAGAGACTCTTGCTTTGACAGTGAAAATTGTGGGAAGAAGGAGTAGGGGAAGAAGGAGGATACTTTGGATGGACAGTCTGCAGAAATTGTTGGAAGAGAGAGAGAGGAGTGAAAGAACTGGGAGTGGTGCTAATAGAGAAGGCTAGGAGCCGAGGATTGTGGAACAACATGATTACCAAAGTCAATCAATATGACAGTTAGAGAGAGAGAGAGAGAGAGAGAGAGTGCTTTGTTTCAAAGTGTAAAAGTGTGTGTGTAGTTTGTTTTTACAGATGTGTATCAATCAGATATGATTATGTATGTCTGGGGACTGACCTTTAATGTTACCACCGTCCGCCTGAGCCAGTTTGTAGGCGAAGACAGAGAGCTGACCAAGTGAGCTGCCAGTACGGTAGACCATCTTGTCAGTCCCTGTGTTTAATAAATGAGAAGGAAATTCAGATTGTTAGGAACTCAAGGTGGTGTTGGTGCTTACTGGTGGTGTTTAAGTGTAACTTGATCAATAAAAAAAGAAAATCCATATTGAAGACTTGAGGGGCTAGTCTTGTCTGTGAAAGGTGCTAGTGTTTGTTATGATATTACACTGCTAAGTGTTTGATGTCAGAAGCAAAACACATCTTAATGTGCGAGTGAATTTTTTTTAAAACTCTAATAATTTGTCTTAAATTGCTATTTGTTGAAGATCATTGAAGAGTTAGTCCCCCAAACTTGTGACTGATTCTGTACATGATGTGATTTTTATTTGACAGTGTCAACCAGCGAATGACCCTTCAACATGAGAAGCTACAGCTGGATTATGAGAAGCTCAAGATTGAGGAGGCAGAGAAGGCTGCTAAGCTCAGAGAACTCAGGTAAGAATTAGCGGATATTTTTAAAACAGAATTTAAATCCCCACTGCACTACTTGAAGCTACGTGCTCCCTCTATATAGAAAACAATGCCTAAGTAGTGACCATTGGTCCCCCATGATCCCCTTTTTCTTATGTTATTTGAGAGCTGAGTTGATGAGATAATCACCTGTCAGTGACCAGCAGGGTGGTCTTATCCCTCCTAGCCAAACTAGTGCAGACAGGCTTTAAAATTTCTTGGACAAAGAAAGCCTTGCATTTATCTTTGATGTTCGAAATGATTTATAAAGTGACATGTATGTTGAACCAAGGAATAAAGTTTACATCAAGACAAAAATGAATGGAAAAAAAAATACAATGATTGAAGATTTGCCTTGTGATGACTTACTGTTTGAGCCAAACACATTCAAGGTAGTCTCCTCACCATCTTCCTTGCCTTTAAAAAAAAAAAAATTAGCAGATATGTTTTAAACAAAATTTTCATATTTATTTGACAAAGAAAGCCTTGCTTTTATCTTTGATGTTTAAAATCAAGTCGTGAATCATGAAGTTACATGTATATTCTACCAAGGAATAATTTAACATGAAGACAAAAAAAAGTACCATGATTGAAACTTTGCCATGTTTTTTGTGAATTATTATATGACTTATTGTTTTAACATTCAAGGCAAATCTATAAGTCTCCACACCATCTTCCTTGCTAAAAAAAACCCTGCAATACACTTCAAAAAATGAATGCCACCTGGTTAAAACTATTAAACATGTGATTTGTTGATCTCTCCACAGCCAACAGTTTGACAGACGTGAACAGGCCAAGCAAGACCTCAAGGGTCTCGAAGAGACAGTAGTAAGTACCAAAACAACCAAAAAAATTACACATCATGCCCTGTTGCATGAAACTTACCATTGATGGTAACAGGGCTCAACAGCCAATCAAAATCAAGGTTTCCATGTAGTTACCATTGATGGCAAAGTTATGATCAGTGGTAAGTTCTGTGCAATGAGGCCTTGGGCAGCTCTTTTTTTTATAGCTAATCTTGTGCTCTCGTAAATTGAATTACATCTAGAGAGAACTTGTTTGATGTAATTCAGAGTCGTTTCTTATGCAGTACAGTGTCAATAGGTTGTGTAGGTTGTTTAATCATAATCAGGAATTTTCTTGAAAAGAAGTGTTACAAAAACCACAGCATACTATTGCACATAGAGACCACATGATGAGTATATTGGTAGGGACCTTGAGCTCCATTTTCTTATCTTTGCTCAGTACTTTTTTTTACATTTTTTTAACCAAAATTGTTCATCAAACATTGTTTTATTGGTAGTTTTGAACCCCCAGTGTAAGTTTCGTTTGATTCTGTCAGAACCTAATAGCCTTTGAATTTTGTTTGTGTGACATATTTTTATTCACTTTACTTGTATCAAAGAGAACTGTTGCTGAGCTAGCGCATGAGTGTCCCTGGACGGTGTGTGCGCTCTATAAGTTTACACTATTATCATCATTTGCATGGGCGCAATCTTAATTTACGCATAAATACCACTGACCTCGGGTCATTGGCTTTGTTTCAAAGCCAATGACCTGAGGTCAACTGTCTGCGCATGCGCACTGATACAACCGTAAACTGGTGTATTATTATTATTTAAACATTTGATTCTCTTTCTTTGCAGGCCAAGGAGCTTCAGACGCTACACAACCTTCGCAAGTTGTTTGTGTCGGATCTGCAGAATAGGGTGAAGAAGGTGAGAACTTTAATTCAAATTCAAAGGGTGCCAGTCATCTTAAGGTCCACACTGCACTACTTACAGCTACTTGCGCCCTCTATATAGCAAACAATGCCTAATCGGTGACCACTGGTCCCCCATTATCACCCTATTTCTTATGTTAATTGAAGGCTGATTTGTCAGTGAACACGCTGGGTGGACTAATCCCTCCCGACCAAACTAGTGCAGATGGGATTTAAAGGCTAGTTGTGATATGAGGAGGTAAACCGCCGCGAACAAAACACAGTGGTTTTTCTTAACGTCCTTGAATGCCAACTGCGCGCAACAAAGCTCCTGTACTGTGTGTTCACTGAGCTTGTTGTTATCAGACACAGAAATGTGCAGCGTTTACACGTTACTTCATAATAAAAAAAATATTACAGTTTATCACGTCATATCTGAAAGGGGCATTAACTCCTTGATGGCTTTGGCCAACGTTTGGGACACACAGTCATCTTTTGTCACACGTTTTGTGTTCATATATATAATCCTTTAAAAATAGGGCAGTCTTCTAGGCTATTCATCCATGCGGGGAATATAGTTTAAAATGTTTTTTTCTGTCTAGCTAAAATGTATAAAATCAACCTCAAAAACTTTACCTTGTATTCTTTGGGTGGAAGGTTAAGAAGTAGGAAGGAAATAAAAGACAATATAAAAGCCCTTCCTGCCTAAGGAACCCAAATCAAGAGTCCAGGGGCCTGTTTCACAAAGCCTTTTTCAATGACAAATTACAAAAATCAGTGACAAATCTGCTGATAACCAATCAGAAGCAAGGATTTCAGTAGCTTATAAAAAAAACTGTCATTTGTCACTGATGACAAGTTTTGTGAAATGCCCCCCAGTTCCTTGCAGGCCTCATTGTGTGCTAGAATGGAGGAAAGCAAGTTTAAATTCTATGTAATGTCATAAGAGAACTAAGGGATGTGCATCCTATTGAAAGGAGATCATTTGTATATAGGATAAAAGCAACAAATAGCCTTGGGAGTAGTTTAGAACCCTGACCCTTCCTGAAACACGGACCCTTGCTCTAACCACTGAGCCATCTGTTCTTTACTCCATCAGGCTCTAGAGGGCGGCGATCGTGACGATGACTCTGGAGGAAGCCAGGCACAGAAACAGAAGATCTCCTTCTTGGAGAACAACCTGGAACAACTCACCAAAGTTCACAAACAGGTAAAACATTTGAGCAAGAAACACCCATGAAAAATTGTAATTGTTATTTGTTACAATAATTTACATCCTTTCACCGAAATAGAGGATGAAATATTCTTCAGAATACCATCTCCAGATGTAGATGTTCTTGAAAGAAACATTTAAAAATGCTGGTGGAATGAAGTATGAAATAATCACTTGATACAAGTGATAGAATAAACTGAAGATCGAAAGAACTTGCTGTTAGGTGTCAAAAGGAGAATAATGGGAAGGAGAGTTGAGAAGAGAAGATTCAGTAAATATGTATATAAACCAGCTTATTCTTTTTTTCTCTCTTTTTTTCATGCAAGGACAAATGGCTACAAATGTATGCCATAATGAGTTTGACTCCTTTAAACATGTAGCGCTATGTAAATGATATCTGATATTGCAGTCATGGTCTAAACCGTCATTATTTTTGTTCTTGATTTCAGCTGGTGCGAGACAATGCTGACTTGCGATGCGAGCTGCCCAAGCTTGAGAAGCGTCTCCGAGCCACATCGGAACGTGTCAAGGCCCTGGAGATGTCTCTCAAGGAGACTAAAGAGGGCGCCATGCGTGATCGCAAGAGGTTTGTACTCTATCGTTTTATTGATATTTGTTATTCTTGCCGATCACCTAAAGAATTAAAGTGATGATATTGTTAAACCTGAACCAATAGCAAAGTGGAGTCTGCCGGTTCATTGTCACTGTCAATCATAAATACTAATAATCATCAATTGACTATTAGATACAATTGAATGGGCATTAAACTAACTGGTAATTCAACTAACTGGCATTGGACTAAATGAACAATAGACAAAATGGGTAGTAGATATATTGGAGATTAGACCAGGGACTTGGGATACAAGGACTGGATTCTTTATTTTACGACCTTTCAGGGGTATTAAGCAAGCTTAGTTTGATGCAATTGATCCCCCAAACTCCTGATAAGCAACGCTCAGACAGCCGCTCGATACCCGGAGGCTATGAAAGTTACGCAACAATGAGCGCTGGGTCGGAAATCAGAGCGATAAGGCTGGGTTTGGCAGTGCTTTGAAGTCCGATGCTCCACCCCGCCGATTTTGGCATCCTTGTCATCCTTCCACTGTTTTTGGCAATACACTATATTCGATCTCTAACACCTTCTGGCTGCGCATTCACTCATCCTGCGCATATCATATGCGCAGTAGTTGTATTCCAATGAGTCGATAAACAAGGAAGTCCTACGCTTCCGAACCGTCAAATTCCGACCAGATATAGCCAAGTTACACGGACAGTTATGATTTCTTTGGACGATATGAATATGAATATTGAAGGACATTTACTCAACCTTGCGCTATGATGTGCATATTTTTATATATTTAGAAGGAAAGAGGAGATTGTAAACTTTAAACTGATACCAGTCCCATATGCGTGTTTTTGCGTGTTTTTTTGTGGCATGACTCTGAAGTTGGTCAAAGATCTCGAAACTTTGCATTTTCGACGGGACATCATTACTAAGCTAGTGACGTCATGCCGGTAAAGTGCAGGGTTCCCCTGTTTTGTATAATTGTTTTCTTGCTGATCTAGAAAGATAGTTTATTGGTTTCCAAAAAAAGTAAAACCATGCCACTAAAATTCTTTATCAAAATTCACAAAATCATATAGAATCTTGAGAGTAGAGTCTAGAATCTAAATCTATACGATTTTGCAATTTTTAATGAAGAATCATAGATATAAATAAAGAATGACCATTTCAATTAGACTGGATTGCCTTCACGATCATGTTTGTTTTGTTTTATTTGGTTTCTTTTAGTTTTAATTCCTTGTTTTGGTTGTTAAAATTAAACTGGATATAGGTCTACGATTGGAAAGGGGAGAAAAAAAAAGAAAATAATTTTGTATACTGCTTATCCACATTAGGTCCTATACAATTTTTATATTGAAAAAAGAGAGAAAGAAGCAGTGGCGTACGCAGGATTTTTTCAAGGGGGGGGGGTTTAACATTTTGAAATCGGGCCAAAGAATTTTCGAAACGACTCAGCCAGCCGCTGAATATAGAGCGGGGGGGGGGGGGGGGATAAGAGGACACATTTCATTTATTTTTTGGTCCCGAAATTTCAAAATTTGACCGACCGACCTTCTGTTCCTTCTGGGGGGTTGGGGGGGGGGGGGGGGGGGGGGGGGGGGGTTAGGTCATATTTTAGGTCATCCATTAGGATTTTTTAAAAAGAAGAAAAAACTCAAAGGGAGGGGGTGGTTTTCACAAAAAACCATATACATAAAAAAAACGGAAGGGGGGGGGGGGGGGGTTAACCCAAAGGCTTAACCCCCCCTTGAGTTTTTTTGTATGTATATGTTTTTTGTGAAAACCACCCCCCTTGAGTTTTTTTCTTCTTTTTTACCCCCCCCCCCCCCCCCCCCCCCCCCCCCCCCCCCCCCCCCTGCGTACGCGCCTGGAAAGAAGGAAATTAATCTTTACAAGAAAGGCGTTGGTAATTATACTCGTCGGTTCTTGAGCTTGACTGATTGATATTACAAAAAAAAAGAAGATATTATTTGTGATGACCATGTACGTAGCTGCTGCATGCAGGGTTGTGGGTATGTGGGCCGGGCCAGGAGCGATAACGTTGTTTCTTACAATTATTGACAAGGGAGTTTATAGTCTACAAACTAGATCTTTCAGCTACTTAAGAGTTCAGTAACTCAGATCTGGTTAGTATAGATTTTGTTTTCATGTATATGTACGAAGTTCGGACTTTCTACCGTCGGTCGATATTGTAGATCTATTCGTGTTTCCCGAATCAGGTTGATGAGGTTTCACACAGAAGTCGCATCTCCAGGTCGTATCTAGTTAGCATCCACTGACGAGAGCGCGACCGGCCGCTCAGCTTGGGGAGACTTTGTGTGAATTTCCGTTACCTCTTTGCCTGCACATTGGCGGTGATACCACACAATCGGACAATTTTCACCACCACATTGAATTAAGTTTTCCGTAGCAGGAAATCCACAGATACATACTTGTTTCCCAACTCTCAATTTCCCAATCTTTCAGGTAAAAAACCCAATCTTCGGCCTGGCTTTGGGACTGAATCTTAGCAGTACACACTGTTGCCATTTTTATTTCCTGTGCTAAGCGAGGGCGCATGCGCAGTGAGTTATTTGTGACCTCGCCTGTCATTTGCTTCGAAGAAATTTACGAGCGCTCGCGCTCGAGCGGCAGTAATTTGGATTAGTTGGGATAACATTCTGCAGTGTCGGGGTGGAGCATGGGTTCAAAGGGAATACATCAAGATTCCAGTCCTTGTCAACTAACAAGTCCCTGATTAGACCATGTGGAAATTAGAACAAATGCCTAATATCCAAAATGGTCATTCAAATTCAATTCAAATTCACATTTATTCGGCAAAAGATAAAAACATCAAAATGAAATCATTACAAATGAAATCATTATAAATACCGGGATTGCTAAAATAAGTTAAAAACTTGTAAACAAGCAACCCCAAACATAAAAACATACAGATACTATACAATACAATAAGATGAAATACGATACAATACAATACAATACAATAATAATAATGTTACATGCTAACAAAATATATGAATCAATTATGTATTTCAATAAATCAATAAGTGGCAAGTATTGTTCTTTTCAGTTTAAGTTTAAATGTGTTCTGGTTCTTAATACCCTTTAAATAACTTGACATGGAGTTCCATTTCTGAGGACCTTGATATCTAATTGATTTATTTTGCAAAAATGAGTTAGTGAATTTTGGTAGATGGAAGTCATTTTTTTTTCTTGTATTAAAGGAGTGGACATCCGAGTTCAAATGAAAACTGTCATAAAACGTTACTGGTAGCAAATTATTTTGGAGTTTGTACATAAATAATAAAGTCCGTTGAGAAAGAATATCTGGAAGTTTAAGTAAATTTAAGGATTTAAATAATGAAGAGGTGTGCGCCCTGAAGGAAGCATTGCAGCACAACCGAACAGCCCGCTTTTGAAGTATGATAAGGGGCTTTAATAAATTATTAGACGTTCTTGCCCAAACTAAATTACAGTACGTTAAGTAAGGATATATGAGAGTGTAGTAAAGATTATTAAGATATTATAATATTAAGATTAGCAAAAATGAACAATAGACGGAATGATTATTAGACCATGTGGATTGTAAACAAGTTGGGTGTAGACCACATGGGAATAGACCAAACAGCAATTCACCCAAGCAGACATGTTGTACTTCAAAGAACAGTGAGGCTACGGCTAGATGACATTGCTTGGCTTTTTGTGCCTATTAGGAGAAGAAAAACATTTAAATTCTCATTAATTTTTTTTTTTTTTTAAACTTTATCTCTTTGTTTGTACCAGGTATCAGCAAGAGGTTGACAGGATCAGAGAAGCTGTCAGACAGAGGAACTTTGCTAAGAGGGGTAGCAGTGCTCAGATTGGTAAGTAAACAAACAGATATTGAATAATAATAATAGGTCTATTTACATAGCACTACTACTATATGAATATACTCTACTGCTCTTTAATAAGACAAAGTATCACATTATTACCCGGGCTGTAGCTGAGCTGCCATGATAAGGCGCTAAAGCATTCAAGGAATTTCTTCCTACTGGGTCTCATTTACATCACCTGATTAATGTGTTGCCAAAGGAAATTAGTGCCACAGTGGGACTCGAATCGTGAACCTTGTGATCCACAGTCTGGTGACATATCCACTACACCACGACACATACCTCTCATTATCAGAGCTATTGAATGTTGAATATTGATTATTTTGAATGTCATTTCGATGTTTAAACTTACAACATCCCTTTACTGTAAAAGCAGGATTCACCATGGTTACAACCGATTTTAAGTATTCCTTTGATATCTTCATGTCTTCTCCCCATTTCAGCCAAGGCAATACGAGCTGGTCACCCGCCTCCGTCCCCCGGAGGATCGACTGGCATCAGGGGTGGCGGCTACTCCGGTATCAGGGGAGGAGGATCCCCCGTCATCAGGCCCCCTTCTCATGGGAGCCCAGAGCCCATCTCACATAACAACAGCTTTGAGAAGTCGTAAGTTGATAACTTCCATTTTTTATTTTTTTTATATCTTGTTTGCTTCATGTGCTTTGCATGTACAGATACGTTTTGAAACAGGAGAGAGCATATAAGAATTTAAAACGACACGGCATATGATGGACTCAAGAGTTGCTGAACTTGATCATATAGGGTGGTGATCACAAAATCATTAATCTTTTTTTTTGGGTGTGTATAAAATATAATAACAATAACAATCAGTATTTATATAGCACTTAATACGAAATACGGTCTATAAGGGCATGGAGTGTCTCATGTAGATTAAAGGCCAAGTTCACTCCAAAATCGGATATCTAATAAGAAAGTTATGAATTTTTGAAAAGTATGTAAAACTATGGAACAATGAAAATTACAAGACAAATTGGAAATTCACTCATGAGTCTGTGACGTGCATCTCAGATTTAACATCGTTAAACGATGCCTTTAATTATAATCCTTTTTCTTGTTATGTCTACAGACTGAATCCCAACGATGCTGAGAACATGGAGAAGAAGGCCAACAAACGCTTGCCCAAACTGCCACCCGGTGGTAAGTATTCTGCCTAATGTGGTTTTGTTCTATTCATGAGTCTGCTTGTAGATGAGTCACGACAAGCATTAAAGGGGTTGTAGCATGGCAAATACTGGTTAATGCCATCTACGACTTCTTTTGGACAACTGCACGTAAACGAATGGACTTGACTAACGGTCACCGCGCGCTTGCGTTTGCGAAACAGACCGAAGTTCTCCTCACGCTTTGGCTTTGCGTATGTTGCACGAACATGAATACTGCAGTTGTGTCATCCGTAGTCGTATTATACCCGAGGGGCCCCGAGTCAGGCCACGGGAAAGACACATAGTCTCGCCTTGCTATACCCCCTTTAACATTGGAACAAAAAAATGACACTGAATTTGTTTGTCTCTCTCATGATTTGGGTGCATCCATATTTTATTGAGGAAGATTCAAGTTTGATTGTCCACATGTTATCTATACATATACATCTACAATGTGAACATAGACCAAACATGGTATTGCATGTAAGACAATTTCTCTATGAATATATTGGAATTTATATTTATATTGAAACTGTATTTCCCTCTAAATTTTGTGAAGTCATGTATTTGAATAAACATTCTCTTTAGAAATGAATTTTCATTGTTCAGTGATAGATTTTGTAATACATGGCTTTGTCATGTAGTAATTAATGAACCCTGAATAGAAATTTATTTTTGTTGTTGAGAATAAACCACTTTTAATAATGAATTGTTTTGTTGTTCATCAGGTAACAAATTAACAGAATCCGACATTGCTGCCATGAAGGCACGAAGCAAGGCGAGAAATAACACACCTGGGAAAGCCCCCTTAACTAGTAAGTTGATGACACTATTGATGAATTATCTTCATTTTAATCATAAATATGATTTTTTTTTTTCTGTCTTAGGTTTGCTGAAGTTACCTAATGAATGCTAAGTTTCTTAGCTAGTAAAAGCAATCAAACTTTGTGGAATATTAAAAGATGATTTTCATATTTTTGCATTTGAAATGAATGTTCCATTTTACCCTTACTTGGGTATTAATCTCTATTGTCAAGTACAATGTAGTGCAGCTTGATATTATTATTACTATTTTATTAATATTGTGAATGTATTTATTTATTAGTATTATTATCATTTTGTGTTTTTAAGGGGGTTTCTGGATCCAACAATATACCTAACTCTGACCCTAACCTACACTTGTCATGTAAAGCCCAATCCTTACCCTAACACTGTATAGCCTGGAGAATATGTCAGATCTTATTAGATAATTTGAGCTCTTTTCACAGTCCATTTCATGGACTTGAACTTGAAATTAATGCATCTTTTTTTCTCTCCCCTTGTTCGTTTTATCTCTCCACCCCCTCTCTGTCTCTCTGCCCTCTCTCTTTCTATCCCCTTGTCTATCCCCCTCTCCCTCTCCTTTTCTCTCTCACTCTCTCTCTCTCTCTCTCTCTTTTCTATCTCTTTCTTTATCTTTTCAATCTCCCTTCCTCTCTCTCTCTCTCTCTCTCTGTCTCTCTTTCTCCTCCTTTCTCTCTCACTCTCTGATAACATTTCACAGCTAGCGGAGAGCAAGGGAGCTAATGCGTGAGCCCCAGTTTTCATCTGAATCGATACTCATGGAGTAAGGATTCTACCGATACATCATGTGCAACCGTTACTTAGGTAGTAGTGATAGAGAATCAAAGTATATGCATTGTACATTGTAAACACACGAATGGGTGTAGCGCTTGTATATTATATGAAACTCACTTGTGTTCACACATTAAGATACTGCATTAACACTTGACTCATGTTAATACTGTAAGAATAAGGTACTCAAAGTTGTGTTCATATGCAGAACATTGTATTAACACTAGATTTATGTAGTGTTTTAGGAATAAGGTAATGAAATTTTGTGTTCACACATTCACACTTGGCTCATTATAGTGATTTAGGAATAAGGTACTCAAAACTGTGTTCACGCATTAAGATATACACTTGACTCATTGTAGTGCTATAAGAATGAGGTACAATGTACTCAAATTTGTGTTCACACGGCAAAATATTGCATTTACATGTGACTCGTTGTAGTGCTCTAAGAAAGCAGTACTCAAATTTGTGTTAACACATCAAGTTATTACATTCACATGTGAGTGTGTGGTATTTCAAATCCGTGTTCACACTCTTTATTCCATTCAGCGATTGTAAGACAACATGGAAACATGTTTGATTGTAAGAGATTTGGGGTGTAATTTGCAGTTGGGATATCAAAATGTGTAATATTACAGATTGAATGAAGTCTAGTTGGTAATATTGAATTTTAAATACAGGTCGCAGCAAAACAGATGAGTGTAATATGTAAACTTGAACTGAGTTGTAGTTGTTGTTGAATTAGCTTTTGATTATATCTGCTCTGTATGATGGCTTTCAAAAGACAAATAGAAAAAGAAAATTAATTGAGAATTACATGTACAGTAGATCAAGCAATTTCACTGGAGATCATTTTCAAACATTTCAATTTTGTATTGTGAAACGATTGATTGTAGTGGGTATTATGTATTGTAGTGCAATATAGTTGGTCCCATCCAATGCTTTATGATACACCATCTGATATTGTACATCTGTGTAGTGTATACATCATTAATGTAATATTATATGTTGAAATAAGTTGTTATACATGTATCACCAGTACACTATGAAAATTAAGAGCATACAAGTCTATTCCATACGATGTTCCATTTGAGGTGGGATTTTATAATTGGGCTATTTGATACTTTAGATGGCTCTTTTGTCCATTATCTAGTAAAGATGTTTCTAAGATGTAATATTACCCCTGTCATTTGATTCAGGCTTGCTTACACGTGCTCAATGTGTGCACATTCTCAACTCCCTGGGGAGCATTCTAGCCAGGTGCAATTTCACAGAAGCTCGCAACGCTGAGCAAACTACAATGACTTACGCATCCTACCAGTAACCTTTTTAACACCTGGGTGGAGAGTGTCAAATGGATTGATGTCATGCCAAAGGACGTTGTGTTTGGCTCGGATTGAACCCTCAACCCTTTGATTGAGTGTCAAGAGAATGAACCACTATACCACGACACAAAAGGCATGAAATGGAAAAGGATAATTTCATGATGATATGGTCCTTGTTTCTTCATTAAAAAAAAGTGATTTATATTTGATGGATAAATATAGATTGCTACTTTGCACCCCATAGATAAATGGATTAACTCAGACAATCAGTATACCGGTAGCACCAGTATGTTTGAACCTAGCCTTAAATACCCAATTTCAAAAATACAATCCTACATATGTTCATGCATGAGTTTAATCTCCTTACGTGTAAAGATTTTAATTCATTTTTCTGATATCAATTGTATTGTCAAGTGTTCATGTATATCTAAAGTGTGCTCTGCTTTTTGAAGAGACAAATTTGTATAATGTTGTAGACAGTAAGACTAGAAAGGCATTATATTTTGTTTTCATTAGAAGAGGTAGAAAAAGATTAAACCGAAGTTAGAAACCCGTACGCCATACAGGTATGAATGATTGTCAGCTTTTCCTTCGTTAGAGAGCATTCTAGAAACAACGCCCAGAAGATACAGCATTCGCCATTTTTCCGCACTTCTCTATCTTTTTCAATTGAATGCAAGTTTGACACCTGTTTTTTAGAATTCACATCAATTGTCATTTTATTTTCAATTTTGTCAGCATTACGATATGTAATCAGCTTTAAATACTGATTACTTCTTCAAAGAATAGATGTTCTTCAGAGAATAGAAAGAAAAATTGTATCTCTCTTGGTTGTTTTAGTTTGGGCAATACCTGTATAACAAATAAGATCAACATAGTTAGGCTTGTCAGTCAGGAGTTTAGTTTGTTCCAGTGCTCCAGTGAAGCACCTTTGGGTGTGTCGTACAAGAGCCTGGTATCAAGTCTAACCCTGCTGATATGAACTATATTCAAACAGACTCATTTATTTTCAAATCTCTCTTTATTTTTTATTTTTTTTATTCAGGATACATACATTAAAAAACATTCCAAATACCGGTAAGATTTTTGATAGTATGAAACTTATTTCTTACATTTTTTTAATTATTTTGTTTAGATTGAAAAGTGCAGAGAAATGGCGATGTATGGCTTATTCAATTAAAAATTATATTGTTCAGGCACTAAAATCCTATCAATATACAATCATGGCAATGGTCAGAAGTGAACTGGGTCACACTTATATACCTCGGGATGTTCTCTCAACACTATATAGAATTATGATATACATCTATTTCATTCATACGCATTCTAAAATTAACGATGCCTCATCTTGTAAAGCTATGCTCTTATTCTGTGTGCAGAGGTGGTGACATAAATGTATTATCAATGTTTTGTGAAGAAAAATAAATGTCTATATAAGAAGAAGTCAAGGTCGTTCATCGACCTTTGAACTTTGAACTCTGGGAGGTGGCCAGTTGTACGTACTCTAGCTCTAGTTGTGTGTGTGTTATTTGTATGTATATATTCTCTACGATCAGCTCACAAATTATGTTACGTTCTTCTGATAAATATTTTCAAAATGATATGTGTAGCTACATCTAGGTGCAGTTACACATGAATTTAGCTTTTGAGGGATAGACTTTCGATAATTGGTATATGCAGTATATTTCAAGGAAAATATGAATGGAAATTTCGTCCTAGGCTCGTATCTGATTGCAGAGTTGTATCAAAGCATGGCTGTGATGTCGTTGGTGATAACTTTCATAATGTTTACTGAGAGGCAGAAGGGTATTAACTCTGCTAAATTTGATATGAGGTAATATCCTTCTGTATCTCAGCTAATGAAATGTTTCATAACGTAGAAAAGTAGTTAGAATTTGATACAGATCAATTCTTAGTCCTATGAAAGCTTGATCAGTAATTTAATTTGTAGGAGAGAAAGTTAACAGAAAATTCAATTGATGATGAAGGGACCATTTTGTTTTCTTCTGCGTAGTAACTATAATCAGCCATGTGAAATAATGAAATAATATTCCTTTGGGAGAACACCCAAAGTCTTAGTTCTGTATGCTATATGATAGTTGAATCCAAAGATTAGTAGTTATGAAATATGTAGCCATATACACGTAGCTCCCCTTAATTATTTTTTCGTTTTTAGTTCTTTATATTGTTCTATCACAATATTTTATTTAGCAAAAATTTATCCAAAAATGTCATATTTCTGTATAAGCAGTGAGAAAGAGAAGAAAAAAAGGGATTAATTCCAATAATATTGTATTAAAGTAAAATGTATATATAAGTGTGATTGTAATTTTCCATATTTAACAATCCATCAATGAGCTGTATAAAAAACATCTCCTCTTTCCTCCCAAAGTAGCTATTGACTGTATTGATATATTTCCCTGAGTTGTGCTATTGTAGGCTGTATATTTTATAGTACAAACTCTACTAGAATAAGAATACACTATTAAATAGGATTGAATTGTATATATATTTAAGTCACAGATTCATCAGTAATTCACGCACAGTCTCATATTCATGTCGAGCGCACCATATACTTAATTTTCAATGTGATATTAAAGAGAGTGACACATTGCTGTACATAAAATGTGAATCCCTTCCATTGTGTGTGCGCGTATTAGAATTTCTGTACTGCATATGGAGTATGTAACACTCTGTGTCTGGTTAACTATTTTAATGCATATTCATGTAGGATGCATATTCATGAAGTTGCACTTACGAGCTGTTGCATATTCATGCTTTCTCTTACAGGTTTATTTGTTAGTTCATTATTCTGCTGAACACAATGTCTGATTGTAGTGGAGGTGACAATGAAATACTTCGATCCATATTTCTAGCATAAAGAGAAGACGGTTTCTGAAGGAAATCTGATTATCGCAATGAGATGGAATTACAGCGTGTGGTATTGTAGAAAGAAATTGTATTAATTGCAGTGATATAAATATTTCAAGTGTATACATTAGTCTAAAAGATATATTTCCCTCTGCTTCGAGGTTTATGTGTACATTTACTGTAAAGAAAGAAAAGAGAAAATAGACTTTGCTAAAAGCAGTGTAGGCCTGTAGCAATGTAAATGTAGGATAGAATTATAGCATAGTATTTGCAAAACAAGAGAAGGTATGTACATTGTGTTGTAAATTACTGCCATTTATTATGTTCAGTTTATTGAATTATGTTCAGTTTATTGAATAATGTCCAGTTTATTGAATTATGTTCAGTTTATTGAATTATACTCACTTTTTTCAATTATGTTCAAAACGATTATTACATGTTCTCTAGAATTATTTTGTAATGAAAATGCTGAATGTCAGTTGCATGAAAGAGTACAAAATCGAAGTGAAAATGTGATCAACAGTGTTTTGTGTCTCCGTCATTTAAAAATGACCCTTATTGCAAAGACAGTAAATAGTCAAAGTGTAATATTTGTTCCAAGCAAATAATATTTTGTGTTTTATTCGTCAAATTAGTGTGGGTTATTACCATTTTTTTGCTTCCTACGATGTTTCAGTACATTCACACATTTATGTAGAGTGCAGTAAGCGACCCGGGGTCAATAACTTCAATTTTAAGTGTGTTGTCAACATTGACATAATTATTGATTGTCCTCAAAGATTGTACTTTACTTTTTATCTGAAAAAAGCTAATCTGTTAGTTTATCATTATTTTCGTGATTCTTTTGGCTAAGTGAGGCAAATTTCTGAAAAGGAAACAGAATTTCACCGTTCAACGAGGATACTAAGATATCTGTCGAACAGGATATGATTGCCGTAAACCATTTATCTCATCTTGTTTCTTGCCGTACGCAGACATCAATGTCACTTCCAAACTACAAACTCCAATACAAGACCCTATATTGTGTGATGAGAGCGAGAAAGACCTTAACTCGTATCATTTTATGTCGCATTAATGCCCTTCTGGCCCTCAACAGATGATGTAGAGTCTTCAACAAGAAAAAAAGGAAATCATCAGTGATACCCAAACAGTATCAGTCATTTGGTAATGTAGTTAGAGCTAGCTCTACACAGTCCAATCTGAACTCAAAATAATACTTGACTCTTAAGATGTTAACAATGGTGGGGAGTTAGGATCATGGGGGTGGTATTGATAATTATCATTCAATCTTTCTTTTATATTATTTATGATTTTTGTTTCCATGATTTATTCTATGTTTGATTGAAGATGGGATGCCCACTGCAGACCAAAGTGAATAAAATCTGATCCTCTGTGGGATCTGTCAATAAAATGCAGTTTGCTTTTTGTTCTTTTAATTTGCTTTTGTTTATCCTTGTCACTTTCATCTTGGATTATCTCATTAATTGTTTATTTTTGTTCGTCTGATATTACATTTTGTGTGTCACTTTTGCATGTTTTTCTCCTCTTTGCCTGCTTTGTGTTGTTAATGGTATGGCATTTTTAACTGTCACCCCCCCCCCCCCACACACACACACACACACACACACACCCTTAGTATAGCAATGTATAGCAATCCCCACTTCTCCTAACTCAAACCTTTAACTTTAATCGAACCTTTAACCTAAATCTATTCCAAATGTTGACTCTGATACCCAAAACTTAAACCTTATTGGGAGCGCCAGGAGCGTCAAATCTGACTGACATGAGCGCTATACAAGAACCCATTATTATTATTATTATTATCGTAACCCTATTCCTAAGTCTTGGATGGATAAGATACTGATTACACAAAGATTTTTTGTTGTTGCAAAGTAAAGTGCATATCTGTAGTTGTAAAATGCAGTGTGTATACATTATCACTGAACAGGTCTATGTTGTTTGCACAGGTCAACAGTAGATTGTGAGTATGCTTGTGATAATATGAAACAAAACTGCACCCAAACTGATCAGCCAAAAGCAATCACAGAAGGCTAGGTAAAGAATCGGATCAAGAAGAAACCAGATAAATGGTCCAGAAGCTCAGCCAAGTAAGGAACTAAATTTGTCATCAATGAAAATTAAACCAAGGAAAATACAATTATAACATTAATTACAATTGGGATATGAGCTGAATAGGATCTAACAATAGAGAATATACATTAAAGACCTAAATCACAGTTGCTAATATTTAATATAGGGAATAAAATTTTGTAAATAGGATATTGATAAATAATAATAGTGAAAACCTCTAGCTAAAGAAAATCAGTTGTCAATTTGTTGAATGTTGGTGATTTGTAATCACTATAGGCCTATTTCTTCAATATTTGCTTCAATATTGGTATTTCCATTGTATAAACATCACACAAATGTTATCTATACCAGTAATGCATAATTAGGATTAATCACCAAATAAAGCAAACTTGAACCAATCATTACATGATGATTGATTGATGAATATTCATGGAAATACTGAATGAATATTCATGTTTAAATGTGGATGAATATTCATGTGTAATGACATGTTGCTCCATGTTGCAATTGTACATTGCTATCCAAGTTTTGTGTATTGGTATGGAGTCGATTCACACTCGCATTATATTCACTGTTGTGTATGAGATTTGTTGTTCCCTAAACGTTGTTAAGAGGATGATGTAAACAGCTGAATAAACTACAAGCAATTCATTTATCGGTTGGGTGTTCTTCTTATTTAAAATGGATGACGAGAATACAGCCATCACAAATGTATATAACACATTTCAGGAAGAGTG